CCGAGCACTTGAAGCGATCTGCTAGCTGCTCATGAGTCACCTTCTGATCCATCAGCTTCAGCATCTCACACTTGGCGCTGAAATCTGGCCGCGCACGAGGCTGAGACTTGTTACTCCCCCCATTCGTGGCCTTCGGACGTTTAGATTGTGCCTTCCCAGTGCTGTCTGCTGCTGACACTTTGCGCTTGCCGGCTTTGGCGACGCACGCGCTGCAGATGCGGTGATTCTCGTTGCCTACATCAACCACACTGCCGCAAATGCCGTGCAGTCGCCCGCCACATCCTCCCTGGCAGCCGTGACCATGAGGGTCTTGCGGCGTGGTGTCCTGTAGTTGGCACAGTTCACCTTCCGCACAGGGCATGGTACGCCCCTGTGTAGAGCTGTTCGGGTCTGCAGCAGCACGTGTACCCTATTTCTGTGTGTGGAGTCTATGTTTTCTGCCCTGGGTTGTGCGTGTGTGTGTTTCGCGCGTGCGGAGTACCGGCACTATTGGGGGTGACAGCAGTGCCGAACCGGCACTATATCGGGCATGCTTTAATTAGTGCCGGTCTGGCACTATTGAGAGCTCCGCCTGTGTGCAGAGATTTTACCGGCACTATACCGGGCATCTGGCACTATTCAACCGGCACTAAAAGGGTCCCTCGACTGTAGTAAACACACACACCCATATCTTAACCCTATTTTTTTTTTTTCTTGTTTTTTGGCCCAGCGGCGTCGTATGTGCTGGGTTTTGAGACCACGGGCTCCCTATTTTTTGTGGACTGCTGTAGTCCAGAGCTCGTTTGAGAAATAACGACACGCAAACACAAGAGTTCGTTAGTATTCCGGGTAACTATAATAGCAGTTGTTGTTGCACGGTACACAAGTATTGAAAGAATTCGCCAGTTTTGGGTGTGTGGAACTTGCAGAGTGCCGTAACTTCTTCACATCATTCCAATCAAAACATCATTCCAATCAGATTCAATACGTTTTGTACAAAATGTTGGGCTGCTGCGATCCGATGGAGACACCTCCATCTGTAGATAAAAAATATATATTGCGGCGCCTCCGTGGTTGCGTGATGCCTCCCTTCGTTGCGCTGCTTCTATCCATAGCCTACATACATACCATCCCCGTCGGTTACGGGCTCTCGGGTCGATGCCCCTCTCCACTACCGTTTTGCCTATGTTGCAGAGAACCTACTGCTCTTGAGTCCTTGTTTGTCTATAACGCACTACTCCTTAGTTCTTATTATTTTGATTCCACAGTGCGCTGTTTGGGCTGGCTCCCACATCATCAAGACTGCTGGCTGTGTATGCAGCGGAGGAATCTGCTGCTGGTGTATTCGGGTATTATTCATGCCGCGCGTTTCCACGGAAAATCAAATTCAAAATTCAGAAATGAAATTCTAGTTGAGCATTTCGAGCATGCGGGGGGGGGAGAACGCCTATACCAAGAACTCGGAAGGCTTTTTTCTTGGTGGAAGATAAGTATGTTCATTGCCCGAGAACAAGTATCACTGTTAAACCTGGCTGCTCTTTAAGTCAGGGGGGCATAGTGCTGTTTCCCGTTCAGGAAGTGATGCTGCAGCCAGCATCCATTGTTTTCAGAAGTATTTTATGTGACACTCGCGGATTGGGCAACATCATCATCAGCAGCAGCTGTAGCTCAGCAGCTTCGCACAGCAGCAGTGCTGACGATAACAACAGCAGTAGAGCGCAACAGCAGTAGAATTGTAGCGGGCGTGTGTGCGGTTGTGTGAATATAACCCACGATCTGCAACAACAGCACAGCATAGCTCTGTTACCAGGTATTAGTGTGGAAAGCTTGACGTCCGGTTAGTACCACCGCGTGTCGCCGCCAAACATTCGGATCAACTACATGTACGGACAAGGCGCTCAAGGGTGCTCAGAATACTCTCATGTCAAGACATCGACCGCAAGCCCAGCTGTTTCATTTTCGCGTTGTATACATTCGTTTCCAGGAGGAGGAGGAGGTTGCAGTACCTATAATGGAAGTTCTCCCTCTTCGAAATCAAGGCGCCATATTTCATGTACCATGTTGCTGGTCGCTCCGGTGTGTACTCCTGTATGATCGTTTATCCTTAAAAACCTTCTACTGCTGTAGTGTCAGGGTCAGGGGTATATATAAATATATATTCGAATCCCGACGTAGGCAAGTTTTTCTTGCTTAAAGTGAGTTTTTCTCTCGCTTCGGTTCCTAGCCTGGGTGGAAAGCGCGAGGTCATGTGTACACAGAGAGGAGAGAGTGCCGCACTCTTCTCGCATGAAAAGTCGAAGGCAGAGCACCGCAGGAAGGGTGGGTAGGGGGCCTCCGGCAGAGAAACCATTCTGTGTGACCGCGGGTTGGAGTAAACGGCACAAGTGCTGTGAGCGCTGATTTTTGAAGTGAGGACAATAAAAATAAATAATGAATGAACACGAGTTTGATTTGGAGAATCAAATCAAATGGTACTAGAAACTCATTCTCACCCACATTGAGGGTTATGTTGCGCGCCTTTGATGAACGCCCGTCATAATAGGGACGACCCCAAACTTGTGTAAGCGCACAGCAGTCTACATCCATTCCTTCCTGCTGTGTCTGGGGGATCGACCAGTCACCAGGCGACCGATGTTCCTCGGTTACTTGTGTGCTTGTCTTGTTTTGTTTATTCATATTCGTGACACAACAAATCCATCTCTCTACCCGTAGAAAAAGGGTCTAGGATATGTTAGCAATGAACCAACAGCGTTGGCGAAGCACTACCCGTGTGTCTATGCATGCGATTCCCCAAGCAGCACACAGAGCGATGTCTCCCCTGTGGCTTTGAAATCCAATTAATCTTTGCATGCATGCGTGCGTGGACTGCTGTGTGATTTTGGCCCGGCGGCGGCGGCGACAACCTGAGCCAGGTGAACAACACGGAGGCCACGGCCATGGACATACGCACGCGGGGGGGGTTCGTGCCGGTGGCGTGGAAGGACGTCAAGGTTGGCATGTGAGTGGGGGTTGTTATTCCCGCACACGGTCGCCATTTCGGCCACATTGCCGTTACACTGCAGAATGAACACTTTTGGGGGAATTCTGTGGTTTTCTTCTTGTGTTGACCTAGCAGTCGTTTCCTGTTTTGTTTTTTTTTGGCCGAGGATGTTTGGACTCGCTTCGCGTTAGAGAAAGGGGGGTCGTTTGCGTTAGTATCTCGCGCTCGGTGTTGCTCTTTACGCCCTCTATAACAGGGATGAGCTCAGACACCGTTCTATGTCTCCCATATGACCATGAAAACGGTTGTGCGATTTTTGTGTAGATGGTCGCCGCTTGAGTAATGTCATCGTGAGTTGACCATTCTAATTCTAGTCCTTGTTTTCAATGTTTTCAAAGTGACTGTGCGACTGGTGGAAAATCTTGGCAACAATTCTGTGTTTTCAGTCGGTTTTGTGCGACGGGTGGCGAATCTGATTTGTGAAAATTCTCAGCAAATATTCATGGAATTAAAGAAAGACTGCAACCCCGTTCGAGATATGCCCACAGCAGTGAATGGACGACATTCGTTCTGTATTTTCAATGTCGGTTTGTATATACCACTTGGTCTTCATATAATGTCCCCCAGGTTGGTGAAGATCATAGACAAGGAAGAGATCCCCGCGGACGTTGTGCTCCTCACTTCCTCCGAGCCGGGAGGCGTCGCCTACATCGAGACGGCCAACATCGACGGAGAGACCAACCTCAAGATTAGGACCAGCGCGCCCACGCGGCCGGGGCAGCCGCCGGGGCCGCTGTGGCCCAGCGCCGAGGAGCTGCACGGTGTCAGGATGGAGGTTCGTGTGGGATGTTGTTGTTGTTGTTTTTGTCCGGTTGTTATTGTGTTGACTGCAGCTGCAGCTGTTGGTGTTGGTGGTGGTGATGGTCCTGCTGTCACCGTTTGGCGGTGACATGTTAACAGCTTTCATGGACTTGTTCTCCGCTTCACTCGCGTTCACAGCTGGAACACAAACCTCTGAGCGCTAGCTTTCACCTGTTGCCATGTACCTGTTTGTGAAAATTGTTGCCCACGATTGATGTTTGCGTCGGTGACCTATAGATAATGTATGCCTCTGGACAACTATCAAGCCCACCTGTCCCCCCGTTCTTACTCCTGTTGTCTGCCAGCTCGAGTACGAAGCTCCCAACGCTCGCATTCACTTCTTCACCGGCACCCTCACGCTCCACGACGGAGCGGGGGGCCCGCAAGATGACTCCGGGGAAGGGGGTGGAGGCGGGACGGGCTCGCGCGACGTCCCCGTGGACCAGAGCAACCTGCTGCTGCGGGGGGCGAGACTGAGGAACACGAAGTGGGCGATCGGGGTGGTGGCCTACACGGGAAGGGAGTCGAAGATCGCGCAGAACGCTCGGTCCGTGCCTTCGAAGCAGAGCAACCTCGACAAGGTGAAAGAAAGGACGCCTTTTTTGAGTATGGCTGTTGCGTTGATTAGAGGAAAAAAAAAGGTTCTCTTAGTCTTATTTGCCCTGGCAGGACCCTCCGTCCGTGCCTACGAAGCAGAGCAAACTCGATAAGGTGAAGAAACACGCCTGTTTGTGTGAGGCTATATTGGTTGGTCTCTCTGTACTGCACGTACTCCGGGCACTCCGTCCGTGAACATCACTTGCAAAACGCGTAGTAGAGCTCACCCACCTCTCACTATCCCTTGCCCCGCACCTGCTTATTTTGGCCACCTTATCGAGTGTACCCGCTTTTTTTTGTTTCGCTCGAAGGCGACGAACAAGACCATGTCCGTTATCTCTCCTTGCGAGTTCTCTCCTTTTAATATTTTCTTGCACAGTAGGGAACCCTCAGTAGTGACGGTATAGACCAGACCGTTGCCAGTATACCGGCACTATTCTGAGGGACCGGCACTTTCAACGTACTGAATTACCAAGTAATTCAGTCTATGCGCGCCCGAAACACCGGCTCTATGCCGGACGTCGACACTAGTCAACCGGCGCTTCTGAGGGCCCTTGTCTGTACCCGTTTTTTTTTTCGGTGTTTTGTGGAAAGGTGACGAACAAGATCATGTCCATGATCTTTACCTGCCAATTCTCTGTTTTGTTGTTTTTTCTCGCATGCGTACCCCCTTGTCGTGTTTTTCTTTGCTCTAATGGCGACGAACAAGATCATGTTCGTGATCTTCACGTGCGACTTGTCTTTCTCGTTTTTTTTTTTTTTCTCGTACCCCCTTATTTTTTGTTGTTCGATCAAAAGGTGACGAACAAACTAATGTTCGTGATCTTCACGTGCGAATTCTCTCGTATTATTATTTTTTTTTCTTGCTTCCCTTTTCATGTGTTGTTCGACCGAAAGGTGACGAACAAGATCATGTTTGTGATCTTCACGTGCATGGCCGTCGTGACCACCCTGTCCTTAGTGGGTTACTTGGTCTTCGAGGCGGAGAACGATGACAAGCTCTACTACCTCTGCTACGACTCCGACAACAGTCCCGTCCCGCTCTTCCGGTACGGTTTTGATCACGTTTTGTTTTTTTGTTGGAAAACGCTGAAGCTTCCCTGAAGACTGCTGTGCGTGCTTTTTTCCCCGGCGATACTTGTTTGTTGGAAAAAAGTGTGTTTTTTTTTCGCGGCCTTCTCGGAATGCGTCCGTAGGACTCGCTTTAGCAGAATACTCGCCACTCCCAGTGATCTTTAATACGCGTTGTGCAAGGCGTGTGTCCCTCTTGTTGTAGATGTGTGTGGTTTCCGTGGAATCTGACTGCTCCGCATGTTTTTCGTAGATCTGTGTACTTGTCGTAGATCTGCATGTGTTTGGTAGATCTGTATGCTCGTAGCAGATACGTACGATTGTATGCCCGCTGGGTTTGGAAGTTGTCGAAAGCGACGACAGTGTTCGTTGATCTGCATGGTTTTCGTACGTGAGTCCGCTTGTCGTAGACCTGCATGCGTTTGGTAGATCTGTATCCTCGTGGTTGATCAGTGTGTCTGTCGCAGGCCTGCATACTTCGGCGTGCTGGAAGTTTGCGAAATCCACGACAGTCTTTGTACCCAAAAACCGACGTGTTGGAGTTGGAAAGCCTCCTTCCGCCTTCGATTGGATGCCTCATTATCTCTGCTGTTCACCTTTTCCTGGATATCTGCGCGTTCACCCCTGACGTGGCACGTGTTCCTTTACGCGGTCGTCGTATGTACGTATGTGTACCAGGGACAATTGCGAGTCCGCCGATTCTTCGAGCAGCGTGGGGCAGTGGTTTACGTTCCTCATCCTGTACAACAACTTCGTCCCGATCAGCTTGTACGTTACCCTTGAGATGGTGAACTTTATACAGGCCGCCTTCATCGACGAAGACATCCTGATGTACGACGAGACCCAGGTAAGGGCGGGGCAGGAAAAGTAAGAGGGAGAGAGAGAGATGGTGGCATGGTTGTACAGACGGAGACATGCTTATGAACGACGTGACCAAGGTAAGAGCAGGGCAGGCCAAAAAGGAGAGAGAGAGAGAGAGAGAAAGAGAGAGAGATCATGGTTTTATAGGAGGAAACATCCTGATGAAAGCCGTGCCTAAGGAAAAGCAGGGCGGGCAAAATAAGAGAGATAATGGTTATACAGGAGGAAACATTCTTATGTACGACGAGACCCAGGTAAGGAAAAGCAAAGTAACAGGGGGGCAGACAAAGAGAGAGTCTAGCGAAATTGGTTCCCAACTTGGGGGGGCACGACGATACTTTCTTTTGAAGTCGTGTGCGGATATCGGGAGGAGGTAATCTCGCTGTTGCGCTCGTGGTTGGTATCTCTCCCCCTTGCAAGCCCTTCGGGCGAAATTGGTTCCCAACTTGGGGGGGCAAGACGATACTTTCTTTTGAAGTCGTGTGCGGATATCGGGAGGAGGTAATCTCGCTGTTGCGCTCGTGGTTGGTATCTCTCCCCCTTGCAAGCCCTTCGGGCGAAATTGGTTCCCAACTTGGGGGGGCAAGACGATACTTTCTTTTGAAGTCGTGTGCGGATATCGGGAGGAGGTAATCTCGCTGTTGCGCTCGTGGTTGGTATCTCTCCCCCTTGCAAGCCCTTCGGGCGAAATTGGTTCCCAACTTGGGGGGGCAAGACGATACTTTCTTTTGAAGTCGTGTGCGGATATCGGGAGGAGGTAATATCGCTGTTGCGCTCGTGGTTGGTATCTCTCCCCCTTGCAAGCCCTTCGGGCGAGGGGGGCCGTGAAGTGCCTCATCTATCCATGTCCAATTCCACATGCTAGTAATCCTTTCCTCGACACGCGGTTTCTGAAGATTACACACGAGTCAGGGTTGTGAGAGATGGGATAAGGGCGATCAAGATAAGTCACACTATAACGCGCGGCGGCGATGGAGGAGCCCCCAGCAGTATCTTCACCAGCGTGCGGGGTAATGAGCGGGCTGCCCCGCTTGTTTCTGACGTTGGCGGCAGGCATTGGGTGCCTTGCTATCCGCTGCCCCTGGCCGCTCGTTGAATTTTCCCCAGCTCCGGTGGGATGGCGCTCGCGGTTAGTTCCGCCGCCTTGTGTCACACGACTGTCTGTATACCCGTGTGACTCAGGGCGGCGGAACTAGCCACGGGCACCCTTCCGTGGGAGCTAGGTGGGATTCCACGACCGGCCACGGGCACGGTTTGTAGCCATGGCACCCAAACCCTGCCAACAACATCGGAAACAAGCGGAACAGCCCGCTTCTGCAGCCGGATCTCAACCTACCGCCGGAGGTCGCGGCGGAGTAACTTTCAAACCCTACCGCCGCGAAGGTGCGGAGTCATTAGCGGGCTGCCCCGCTATTTCTGATGTTGGCAGCAGAATTTGGGCGCCGAGCCATCCGCTGACCCCCCCCGGTCGTTGAATTATCCCCAGCTCCGATGGGATGGCGGTGGTGGCTAGTTCCGCCGCCTTGTGTCACACGAGCGTTTGTGTACCCGTGCGACTCGAGGCGGCAGAGCTAGGCACGAGCGCCCTTCCACCGGAACGGGGCAGAACTCCGCGAACGGCCACGGGCAGCGGGTGCAGCCATGGCACCCAAACCCCATGGCCAACGGCGGAAACATGCGGGCTAGCCAGATCATGACGTCGCGTTCTGGCGGTGTAGTGCTGGGTCCCCCTCTAGCGCTACCTCCGTCTGTAGCTTTGGATACGTCCATCGCTATTTGCGGTGGGGTCAGGGTGCCTAGGCTGTCCGCTGTCCGCTGCCCCTGGCCGCTCGTGGAGTTCTTCCCAGCTCCGCCGGGATGGCGCTCGTGACTAGGTCCGCCGCCTTGTGTCACACAAGCGTGTGTATACCCGTGCGACCCAAGGCGGCGGAACTAGTCACGAGCGCCCTTCCGTCGGAGCTAGGCAGAGTTCCACGAGCGGCCAGGAGCAGTGGAATGTAGTCCAGATGTAGGAGTGGGTTCTGCCCCGCTTGTTTCCGATGTTGATGGTGGAGTTTCGGTGCCTTGGCTATCCGCTGCCCCTGGCTTCTGGTGGAGTTCTTTCCTAGCTGCGGCGGGATGGCGGTCATGACTGATTCCGCCGCCTTGTATCGCACGAGCGTGTGCAGACCCGTGCGACTCAACGCGGCGGAACTAGTCACGAGCGCCCTTCCATCGGAGCTGGAGAGACGTCCATGAGCGGCCACGGGCAGTGGATGTAGTCAAGGCACCCGAAGCCCACCGCCCAGGACAGAAACATGCGGGCCAGCCCGCTCATGACTCCATGCTCGGGCGGTGTAGTGCTGCCCCCCCCCCCTCCGGCACGACCTCCGCCTNCTCTGCTCCGCTTGTTTCCGATGTTGATGGTAGAGTTTCGGTGCCTTGGCTATCCGCTGCCCCTAGCATCTGGTGGTCTTTCCTAGCTGCGGCGGGATGGCGGTCATGACTGATTCCGCCGCCTTGTATCGCACGAGCGTGTGCAGACCCGTGCGACTCAACGCGGCGGAACTAGTCACGAGCGCCCTTCCATCGGAGCTGGAGAGACGTCCATGAGCGGCCACGGGCAGTGGATGTAGTCAAGGCAATCGAAGCCCACCGCCCAGGACAGAAACATGCGGGCCAGCCCGCTCATGACTCCATGCTCGGGCGGTGTAGTGCTGCCCCCCCCCCCTCCGGCACGACCTCCGCCTGTAGCTTTGGATACTCGTCCATCGCCATCCCCATGAGGTTAGGATGCCTCGACTTATTTTCCTGCTCCTGGCCGCTCTTGGGGTTCTCTCCTGCTCCGACGGAATGGCGCTCGTCGCTAGTTTGTCCGCCTTGTATCACACGAGCGTTTGTATACCCGTGCGACTCAAGGCGGCGCAAGTAGCCACGAGCGCCCTTCCATCGGAGGTAGGCATATATGCACGAGCGTCCACGAGCAGCTTAATAAAGTCCAGATGCAGGAGCGGGCCCTGCCCCCGCTTGTTTCCGCTGTCGGTGGTGGGGTTCGGGTGCCTTGGCTATCCGCTGCCCTTGGCTTCTGGTGGAACTCTACCCAGTTCCGACGGAATGGCGGTCGTCGCTAGTTTGTCCGCCTTGTATCGCACGAGCGTGTGTGTACCCGTGCGACCCAAGGCGGCGGAACCAGTCACGTGCGCCCTTCCATCGGAGCTAGGTAGAATTCCACGAGCGGCCAGGGGCAGCAGCTAACCAAGGCACCCGAACTCCGTGGCTTTCGTCGGAAACAAGCAGGACAAGCAGCTGATGCAGCGGGAGCTCAAGACTCCGCACCCTGGCGACGGTAGCGCTTGGGGGTCCTCCGGGGCGACTTCCGGCGGTAGCTCTTTTTTGAATCTGCTCCATGGCCGTCGCGGTGGAGTTTGGTGTGCATCATCCATATATCTTGTATACTCGTGCGACTCAAGGCGGCGGAACCTTTCATCGGAACTGGGCAAATTTCCAACAGCGGCCACGGACAACGTATATTGGTAAGGCACCCGAACCCCGCCGCCCACGACGGAAAAATGCGGGCGCGCCCGCAAATGACTCCGCGCTGTGTATACTCCGTCTTTTGAACTGGATACTTCTCCATCGCCATCGCGGTGGGGTTGGGGAACCTCGGCTGTCCGCTGTCCCTGGCCGCTCGTGAAGTTCTTCCCAGCTCCGACGGGATGGCACTCGTGACTAGGTCCGTCGCCTTGTATCACACAAGCGTGTGTATACCCGTGCGACTCAAGGCGGCGGAACAAGTCACGAGCGCCCTTCCATCGGAGCTGGGCAGAGTTGTTCCACAAGCGGCCACGGCTAGCGGGTGTAGTCAAGGCACCCTAACCTCGCCACAATGGGCGGAAACATATGTTATGGGCCAGCCCGCTCATGACTCTGCGCTGTGGACACTTCTCCATCACCATCGCGGTGGGGTTAGGGTGCCTCAGCTGTCCGCCGTCCACTGCCCCTGGCCGCTCGTGGAGTTCTCCCAAGCTCCGACGGGATGGCGCTCGTGACTAGGTCCGCCGCATTGTGTCACACGAGCGTGTGTATACCCGTGCAACCCANTATGCGGGCCATTCTGCTCATGACTCCGCGCTGTGGATACTCCGTCTGGTGATCTGGATACTTTGTGGTTAGGGTTCCTCGGCTGTCCGCTGTCCCTGGCTCCTCGTGCAGTTCTTCCCAGCTCCGCCGGGATGGCGCTCGTGACTAGGTCCGCCGCGTTGTATTACACGAGCGTGTGTATACCCGTGCGACTCAAGGCGGCGGAACAAGCCACGAGCGTCCTCCCGTCGGAGCTAGGCAGAATTTCACGACCGGCCATGGGTAGCGGAATAAAGTCCAGGTGTAGGAGTGGGCTCTGCCCAGCTCGTTTCCGCTGTCGGTGGTGGGGTTTGGAATGCCTTCGCTGCCTGTTTCCCGCCCCCGTGGCCGCTCGTGGCGTTCTACCCAGCTCGGGTGGAATGCCGGTCGTGGCTAGCTTGGCCGCCTTGTATCACACGAGCGTGTGTATACCCGTGCGACCCAAGGCGGCGGAACTAGCCACGAGCGCCCTTCCGTCGGAGCTAGGCAGAATTTCACGACCGGCCACGAGCAGCCTATTGAAGTCCAGATATAGGAGTGGGCTCTGCCCAGCTCGTTTCCGCTGTCGGTGTTGGAGTTTGGGATGCCTTCGCTGCCCGCTTCCCGCCCCCGTGGCCGCTCGTGGAGTTCTCCCAAGCTCCGACGGGATGGCGCTCGTGACTAGGTCCGCCGCATTGTGTCACACGAGCGTGTGTATACCCGTGCAACCCAAGGCGGCGGAACTTGTCACGAGTGCCTTTCCATCGGAGCTGGGCAAAGTGTTTCCACGAACGGCCACGGGCAGTGGGTGTAGTCCAGGCACCCTAACCCTGCCACAATGGGCGGAAACATGTGGGCCAGCCCGCTCATGACTCTGGGCTGTGGATACGTCTCCATCACCATCGCGGTGGGGTTTGGGTTTGTCGGCTTTCC